TTACGCTCCATTCCTGGTAAGGCTTGTAAAGACGCTTGGCAAAGGAGTTGCATTTAAGCCTTGTCTTACGCTCCATTCCTGGGAAGGCTTGTAAAGACGCTTGGCATGTTGGAAATGACCAAAACATAAATGAGCCAAGGAATTGCACTTAAGCCTTGTCTCATGGTTCTTTCGTGTGGTGTGCAAAAAAATAGGGACAGGTGTTAGCACACAGACTCCCCGTCGGGGAATCAAACCCCGGTCTTCCGCGTGACAGGCGGAGATACTGTCCACTATACTAACGAGGAAATCCTTCTTACCCTTGGAAAGACGGTTGGCACTTTGGATAGCATCAAAACATAAACGCTAAAACCATAAATGATCCAAGAAATTGCACTTAAGCCTTGTCCTGTGCCCCATACCCGTGATGGCCAACAGAATATGGCACTGGACTTGAACTGCACTGGGGCTTTACCTGTGCAAGTTGAAGCCTGCTATGAACCTGAGTCTTAATGCAGAGAATCTTTATGAAGATGAGCAACAAAGCACCTTGGCATTCATCAAACAAGCTCGTGCCAAACACATCTTCCATCCTGGGAAATTGCATTGACGTAAAGGAAGTCAAACAAATCCTGCTTTGAGACAATGTCCACTGTAAAAAGCGCTACACAAATAAAATTGATTTGAACTGAATCGAATGTGTACATGTAAAGTTGTAAATGGTCTAGTTACTTAATTGAAGTAAATGTATTGAAGAGGGGCAGAAACATGAGGATATAAAGATGCACAAACACGTTTATTGGCTCCAGAAAAAATAGTCTAGTGTTTCCTTAAATCACTTTGCCGCTTTGCTTGTGAAGAGCAAAATTCGAATAGAAAATCGATCTCGTTTGCTAGCTCACTTATCAAAGATAACTATAAAATACTTTATATTATAAAATACTATTAGTAACCCATAATTAACTAAATGGTCTCGCGCCGCAGTATCTAAGCGACCTTTTGGTTTTCTATGATCCGCCACGCCTACTTAGATCAAAAGATGCAGGCTATTTGTTCGTACCTTGAATAGCGAAGGCTACAGCAGGAGGATGAGCTTTCTCTTCTGGAGCCCCACACTTATGGAACAGTCTTCCAATTAGAGTTCGGGACTCAGGCACAGTCTCAGTGTCTAGGCTTTAATTGTATTTGTTTAATCAAGCCTACCCTGACTAGACTTTCTCTTATGCTAGGCACAGTCCTATTTTTTTTTCTCTCCCTCTCTCCTTCTGTCGAGCCACTCCCGATTTTATGGAGATACTAGAGATCCTGATCCTCTCTGTTCTCTGGACCTACCTGATCCATTTTGGATGGCCTACCTCTGGATGGAGCTCTCATATACTCCAATTCCAGATTGCTGGGACTACAGCTGCTTCTAAGGCCAAAGAGACTCCATATGAATCCATAATCATCTATTTCACACTATCTGATGTTACCCATGTGAGGATAGGTTCCCTTCTGATTCTGGTTCCTCTCAAGGTTTGTTCCTCTTAACATCTTAGGGAGTTTTTCCTTGCCACCGTCACCACTTAGTAGCTTGCTCAGTTGGGATACATTTGCACCGTATATATCGATATACCGAATGGTTTTATAGATATACATGGATTAAGCTTTGCTTCACCTTCGATAGCTCAGTTGGTGGAGCGGAGGACTGTAGGTACTTAAACTAGTCATCCTCAGATCGCTGGTTCGAATCCGGCTCGAAGGAAGTATTTCTCTGTGTGATATGGTTCCTTTTTAAATGTTAATTTGGCCAGCGGTGGATAAAACACCATTCCCTGACTGGGAATGGAAGCCAGGCCGCAGCGGTGAGAGCACAGAATCCTTACCACTAGACAACCAGGGACGAACACCAAGAAAATGGTGGCCTCTACACTAGGTATGCTGGCCAGTTTCTTCCATCAAAAACTCATAGAAAGGGCACATGAGCATCAGCACAGGACAATGGAGCAGTAAGAAGGTGGCTTGGTCTGAGGAATCACGTTTTCTTTCACATCATGTACAGCTTAGGGTTGGGGTTAGAAATGGCTTGAAAAGGCTTGAAAAGATGCTTGGCCAAGGAGTTGCACTTAAGCCCTGTCTTACGCTCCATTCCTGCTAAGGCTTGTAAAGACGGTCCAATAGTATGGTTAGGCCCGCCGCTCAACCATTCACACTAAATGTAAGCTAACGACTAAAGTGTATTATCTCTCTTAACATACTAGAAATGTATTTAATGGTAAAACGGGATATTTGCTGGAATTCCTGACTGCTACCGCTGGTGAGTGGATAGGTCCTGTGAGTTAAATGTTTTGTAACTGTGTTTTACGTCAAGTATTAACTGATGTGTATTAACCGTTGCACCCTTGAGCAGTAAGAAGGTGGCTTGGTCTGAGGAATCACGTTTTCTTTCACATCATGTACAGCTTAGGGTTGGGGTTAGAAATGGCTTGAAAAGGCTTGAAAAGACGCTTGGCCAAGGAGTTGCACTTAAGCCTTGTCTTACGCTCCATTCCTGGTAAGGCTTGTAAAGACGCTTGGCCAAGGAGTTGCACTTAAGCCCTGTCTTACGCTCCATTCCTGCTAAGGCTTGTAAAGACGGTCCAATAGAATGGTTAGGCCCGCCGCTCAACCATTCACACTAAATGTAAGCTAACGACTAAAGTGTATTATCTCTCTTAACATACTAGAAATGTATTTAATGGTAAAACGGTATATTTCCTGGAATTCCTGACTGCTACCGCTCGTGAGTGGAGTAGCTCGTTTGAGTTAAATGTTTTGTAACTGTGTTTTACGTCTAGTATTAAATGATGTGTATTAACCGTTGCACCCTTGAGCAGTAAGAAGGTGGCTTGGTCTGAGGAATCACGTTTTCTTTCACATCATGTACAGCTTATGGTTGGGGTTAGAAATGGCTTGAAAAGGCTTGAAAAGACGCTTGGCCAAGGAGTTGCACTTAAGCCCTGTCTTACACTCCATTCCTGGTAAGGCTTGTAAAGACGCTTGGCCAAGGAGTTGCACTTAAGCCCTGTCTTACGCTCCATTCCTGCTAAGGCTTGTAAAGACGGTCCAATAGAATGGTTAGGCCCGCCGCTCAACCATTCACACTAAATGTAAGCTAACGACTAAAGTGTATTATCTCTCTTAACATACTAGAAATGTATTTAATGGTAAAACGGGATATTTCCTGGAATTCCTGACTGCTACCGCTGGTGAGTGGAGTAGCTCCTTTGAGTTAAATGTTTTGTAACTGTGTTTTACGTCAAGTAATAAATGATGTGTATTAACCGTTGCACCCTTGAGCAGTAAGAAGGTGGCTTGGTCTGAGGAATCACGTTTTCTTTCACATCATGTACAGCTTAGGGTTGGGGTTAGAAATGGCTTGAAAAGGCTTGAAAAGACGCTTGGCCAAGGAGTTGCACTTAACCCTTGTCTTACTCTCAATTCCTGGTAAGGCTTGTAAAGACGCTTGGCACGTTGGAAATGACCAAAACATAAGTGAGCCAAGGAATTGCACTTAAGCCTTGTATCATGGTTCTTTCGCGTGGTGTGCAAAAGAATAGGGCACCGGTGTTAGCAAACAGACTCCCCTTCGGGGAATCGAACCCTGGTCTTCCGCGTGACAGGCGGAGATACTGTCCACTATACTAACGAGGAAATGCTTCTTACGCTTAGAAAGACGGTTGGCACTTTGGATAGCATCAAAACATAAACGATAAAGCCATAAATGATCCAAGAAATTGCACTTAAGCCTTGTCCTGTGTCCCATACCCGTGATGGCCGACAGAATATGGCACTGGACTTGAACTGCACTGGGGCTTTACCTGTGCAAGTTGAAGCCTGCTATGAACCTGAGTCTTAATGCAGAGAATCTTTATGAAGATGAGCAACAAAGCACCTTGGCATTCATAAAACAAGCTCGTGCCAAACACATCTTCCATCCTGGGAAATTGCATTGACGTAAAGGAAGTCAAACGAATCCTGCTTTGAGACAATGTCCACTGTAAAAAGCGCTACACAAATAAAATTGATTTGAACTGAATCGAATGTGTACATGTAAAGTTGTAAATGGTCTAGTTACTTAATTGAAGTAAATGTATTGAAGAGGGGCAGAAACCTGAGAATATAAAGATGCACAAACACGTTTATTGGCTCCAGAAAAAATAGTCCAGTGTTTCCTTAAATCACTTTGCCGCTTTGCTTGTGAAGAGCAAAATTCGAATAGAAAATCGATCTCGTTTGCTAGCTCACTTATCAAAGATAACTATAAAATACTTTATATTATAAAATACTATTAGTAACCCATAATTAACTAAATGGTCTCGCGCCGCAGTATCTAAGCGACCTTTTGGTTTTCTATGATCCGCCACACCTACTTAGATCAAAAGATGCAGGCTATTTGTTCGTACCTCGAATAGCGAAGGCTACAACAGGAGGATGAGCTTTCTCTTCTGGAGCCCCACACTTATGGAACAGTCTTCCGATTAGAGTTCGGGACTCAGGCACAGTCTCAGTGTCTAGGCTTTAATCGTATTTGTTTAATCAAGCCTACCCTGACTAGACTTTCTCTTATGCTAGGCACAGTCCTAGTTTTTTTTCTCTCCCTCTCTCCTTCTGTCGAGCTACACCCGATTTTATGGAGATACTAGCGATCCTGATCCTCTCTGTTCTCTGGACCTACCTGATCCATTTTGGATGGCCTACCTCTGGATGGAGCTCTCATCTACTCCAATTCCAGATTGCTGGGACTACAGCTGCTTCTAAGGCCAAAGAGACTCCATATGAATCCATAATCATCTATTTCACACTATCTGATGTTACCCATATGAGGATAGGTTCCCTTCTGATTCTGGTTCCTCTCAAGGTTTGTTCCTCTTAACATCTTAGGGAGTTTTTCCTTGCCACCGTCACCACTTAGTGGCTTGCTCAGTTGGGATACATTCGCACCTTATGTATCAATTATACCGAATCGTTTTATAGATATACATGGATTAAACTTTACTTCACCTCCGATTGCTCAGTTGGTAGGGCGGAGGACTGTAGGTACTTAAACTAGTCATCCTCAGGTTGCTGGTTCGAGCCTGTATCCGGCTCGAAGGACGGATTTCTCTGTGTGATATGGTTTCTTTTTAAATGTTAATTTGGCCAGCGGTGGATAAAACACCATTCCCTGGACGGGAATCGAACCGGGGCGGCGGCGGTGAGAGCGCCGAATCCTTACCACTAGACAACCAGAGACGGAAACAAAGAAAATGGTGGCCTCTACACTAGCTATGCTGGCCAGTTTCTTCCATCAAAAGCTCATAGAAAGGGCACATGAGCATCAGCACAGGACAGTGGAGCAGTAAGAAGGTGGCTTGGTCTTATGAATCACGTTTTCTTTCACATCATGTACAGCATAGGGTTGGGGTTAGAAATGGCTTGAAAAGGCTTGAAAAGACGCTTGGCCAAGGAGTTGCACTTAAGCCTTGTCTTACGCTCCATTCCTGGTAAGGCTTGTAAAGACGCTTGGCCAAGGAGTTGCACTTAAGCCTTATCTTACGCTCCATTCCTGGGAAGGCTTGTAAAGACGCTTGGCATGTTGGAAATGACCAAAACATAAATGAGCCAAGGAATTGCACTTAAGCCTTGTCTCATGGTTCTTTCGTGTGGTGTGCAAAAAAATAGGGACAGGTGTTAGCAAACAGACTCCCCGTCGGGGAATCGAACCCCGGTCTTCCGCGTGACAGGCGGAGATACTGTCCACTATAGTAACGAGGAAATCCTTCTTACGCTCGGAAAGACGGTTGGCACTTTGGATAGCATCAAAACATAAATGATAAAACCATAAATGATCCTAGAAAGTGCACTTAAGCCTTGTCCTGTGCCCCATACCCGTGATGGCCAACAGAATATGGCACTGGACTTGAACTGCACTGGGGCTTTACCTGTGCAAGGGTTAGGGTTAGGGTTAGGGTTGGGTTAGGGTTAGGGTTAGGGTTAGGGTTTAGGGTTAGGGTTAGGGTTAGGGTTAGGGTTAGGGGTTAGGGTTAGGGTTAGGGTTAGGGTTAGGGTTAGGGTTAGGGGTTAGGGTTAGGGGATTAGGGTTAGGGTTAGGGTTAGGGTTAGGGGGGTTAGGTTTTTGTAAGAATACAATGATCCCCCCCATCACAAATTCATTGCGTGGTTGAATAGGGGACCAAGGAAAGTGCACGGGCCGGCGCTTGTTAAGCGTAGCTATTGTTCCTGTAGCAGACCCCGGCTTGGCGTCTGCTGATTTAACAAATCCAATCGAGTCTAACCCGATTAGGTTTTATAGTTGGTGGATCACGAGCTATTTCCCAATGGGCTGTGGAGATGGTATTCAGTTGGAGGTGGTTCTTAGATGTCTAGGGTTAAGATGGTCGTACCGTTTAAGGTTTCGCTGTTGACATTTGGCTATAACCCTCCCCGAAGTTGGGCTTTCTTCTTTTATTCCCAGCTGGGTGTGGAAGTTATTTTGGTTTAAATCATTCTTCCTGAGTAACGTTTTTCCTGACCTGCTTAGAGCAGTCGTTCGGGCTAAACTTTTATGGATTAGGATCCGGTTATTTGTTTGTTAATTTCTTTTTTTTGTGGGTGTGTGTAAATACTGGGTAGAAGGTTGAGTCTCATTAACCTGTTGCTTAGTTCGTCGGATTGACCTCTGGTTTTGACATTAATTCCTTTAGGTGTTGTGGCTGTGCTTCCTGATGTCGCGAATCCTAGGGAGTATTGGAGAGGTTGAGAAATGGGTCCAAGTTGTGGGTACTTAGGGTTAGGGTTTAGGGTTAATTTTTAGGGTTCAGGTTGAATTTTTAGGGATCAGGGCTACAGTTTAGCGTGATGGTTATGATTAGGGTTTAGGTTAGACTTTAGGGTTCAGAGCTAGGGTTATGGTTGGGGTTAGGGTTTAGAGTTAGGGTCAGGGATTAGGTTTAGTGCGCGGGTCGGAGCTAAAGTTAAAGTGACGGTTATGGTTAGGTTTTAGGTTAGGGTTTAGGTTAGGTTTTAGGGTTCAGCGCTAGGGTTATGGTTAGGGTTTAGGGTTAGGGTTTTAGAGTTAGGGTCAGGGTTTAGGTTGCGTTTTCGGGGTCGGAGTTAGAGTTAAAGTGACGGTTATGATTAGGGTTTAGGTTAGGTTTTAGGGTTCAGAGCTAGGGTTATGGTTAGGGTCTAGGTTAGGGTTAGGTTTTAGGGTTCAAGGCTAAGGTTATAAAATTTTTTTTTTTTTTTTTTTTTTTTTTTTTTTTTTATACCCTAAATTTTAGGACACATCATCAGTAGTGCTCCGCAGAATCATTGGGTGTTTCAGGCCTTTTAGTCACTAGACACCCTCAACTGCGGCGGCCAGCCGTGGGTTGATCACTCCCCGGCCTGTGTCCCATAGCCAATCATCCCATTCGCCTAAGGCATGGTTTAAGATGATATTTTATTTCAAATGGGCCTGCGTTTTTGAGTTAAATAACCATTCATTCATCCATTCATTCATTTATTTTGCTCTGATCTGATCATAGTATAATTTACTAATTGTTTTTTCAGTCCCTGTCAGTTTTAGCTACTTTATTAAACGGTAATTTATATTGGAAGCATGTTGGATCAGTCAATTTCGATTGTTTTAGACCTCCATATTGGTTGATGGATTATTATTTTTTTAATTTCTGTATTACTAAGATCAACTGATTGTATTCTAGAGCCATGTCGGTTTGGTTACTTAGATCGTTCTAGGCCTAAGTATTGATTATTGGATTATTATTTTAGTTTCTGTATTGGTGTAATCCACTGTTTGTATTTTAAAGCCCTGTCTGTTTTGCCTAATTAAGGAGAATTAAATTATATAAGGAGCATGTTCGTTCGGAACATTAAATTGTTTTAGATCTAAGTGTTGATTGATGGTTTATTGTTTTAATTACAGTCATAGAATTTTACCCTATTTTATTTATTTATTTATTTGTTTATATAAAAACTGCTTTAGGCCTAAGTTTTTGTTTGATGGCTTATTGTTTTAATTACAGTCATTTAATTTCACCCTTTTGAGTAATGTTAGCTTGTTTTGTTTTGGCTACTAATGAAATGGTAATTTATATTGGAAGCATGTTGGATCCGTTGATTTAGATTGTTTTAAACCCACGTATTGATTGATGGATTGATATTTGTTTTTTTCCTATTAATATGATCAACTGATTGTATTTTAGAGCCATGTCGGTTTGGTTAATTAGATTGTTTTTAGGCCTAAGTATTGATTATCGAATTATTATTTTAGTTTCTGTATTGGTGTAACCTACTGATTTGTATTTTAAAGCCCTGTCTGTTTTGCCTACTTAAGGAGAGTTAATTTATATAAGGAGCATGTTTGTTCGGAACATTAAATTATTTTAGATCTAAGTGTTTTTTGACGATTTATTGTTTTAATTACCGTCCTAAAATTGCACCTTATTTTATTTATTTATTTGTTCATATAACAACTACTTTAGGCGTAAGTTTTGTTTGATGGCTTATTGTTTTAATTACAGTCATTTAATTTCACCCTTTTGAGTAACGTTTGCTTGCCCAATTTGCCTAATAAAGTCTAGTTATTCTAAAGCATGGCGGAGCGTCGGTGTTTCGGACGTCGGGTAACGTATACTTACCTCGCTCAGCCCGGAGTGACTCTTGTTAACACCGCAAGGTTTCCCGAGTCACCCGAACTGAGCCTATAGCTAAGCCTAACGCAGCGTCCTATCTAACTAAACCAGGGGTCCAGAGGTAGGTCCCGGCAATACGCCACCTCCGGATGGCCCTGGGTGGGTTACAACTCAGCGGATGGCTTGACCCTACCGTTCCTCCTCACAAGGATTCGGAACCTTTCGGGAAACCATCAGGCTTCTACTGAGTTGGGCCCCCTGGGGTTGAGCGTGTGCCAGCGGATTCCTTCCTTACCTTACTCCAAAGAGTAGTCTCGGGAAGTGATCAGGCTTCTACTGACGTAGCCGTCCCCCGACTTGGATGTAGGAGTGGTCCCCACCCACTAGGCTCTTTCTAAGATCGATTTCCCTATTATGGTAAAAAAACTTTCGACTTATGTATTTGTAGTTGACTGAAAGGTTGGGATTCTATGCACGGGTACCAAAAAACGCGGGCGCGTTTAGCTCCGACGGTTGTTAAGATGTTTGCGCTAAGTTTCTGGTTTAAGTTAGGACCATGATCCTTTCTGTCTCGCATAAATTTCCTCCTCAGCGAATCCGCATCACCCGGGTATTTTATTTGGCCAAGCTAAGATGTAACCGTGTATTTTACCCCCCATTCTACGTAGTATATTACAATCTGCGTTTCACTTGTTTACCGTATTATTATTATTGTTTATTATTATTATTACTTCTCCATTTATTATGACCTTCGGCGCGAACTCTGCGTTAAAAAATGCACCTTCACTTCCTGTATTCCAGCCGTGGAAAACGCTCCAGATCGCGCCAAATAGCTGCCCTAAAATTAGATTTTCGCAGCGATTGTGTTTCCATAACCTGTCTTAATCTAACCAGGGTGTTGGTTTTGCTTCGAAACGGATAAATATTATTTTTAATATTTTCCATTATTTTTAATATTCCCGTCGTATGACCAACCCGACCACACCTAAAGTGATCTGTGGGAGCCATCATACGTGCACCTGAATAATTCCGCATCAGATCCATTGATAAATTTTCACGAGTGAAGTTTTGAGGTATAAAATAGCTCCCGGCGCGCTTCGTGTTTAAGAATGCACCCTCACTTCCGGTATCCCAGCCCTAGAAAACGCTCTGGATCGCGCAAAATAACTACCTTAGAATTAGATTTTCGCAGCGATTGTGTTTCTATAACGTGTCTTAATCTAATCAGGATGTTGGTTTTGCTCCGAAACGGATAATTATTATTTTTAATATTTTCCATGATTTTTTAATATTCTCCGCTGTATGGCAGCCCCGATCACGGCTAAAGTGATCTGTGGGAGTAATCCTACGTGTACCCGAATAAATACACATCGGATCCATTGATAAACTTTCACGAGTGAAGTTTTTGAGGCTTAAAATAGCTCTCGGCTCGCTTCGTGTTTAAGAATGCACCCTCACTTCCGGTATCCCAGCCCTAGA